TCCTTTTGTCTCCTATTTAATCTATGAGAATGCTCATGAAGTAGTGCTCTAAATATCTGGGTGTAGTTTCTACACTACCTTCTATACTGACTGTCACCATACACATTCTAACTGTTTATAGGGTTTCCATTACTTCACCTGTTCTCTAACACTCATTTTCTTTTTAATATCCATTTTATCAACAACTACAGAGTTCAATCATTGTGACTTTGACTTGCAGTTTTGAAAATTCACCTTTGGTCATCTGTAGATTTTCTTTTGAAAAATATTTATATTTTTCCAATTATTTTAATGTCAATTAATTTTCAGCATGCTGTTTATTTGTAGACATTTCACATAAATTTTGGGTTTTGACTTCCTATTCTTTGTATAGAATAGTGTGTGAATCATCCTGCTAGGCAAAACCTTTTAGATGGATATAAGAAAACCTTTCTATTTTCTTTCTGTTGATGGTACTTTTGAAGTCACATCCAGTTATTTATGACAACAAGCAAATAATCTTTTCCAGTGTGTATTCCTTTTCTTATTAGTTCTTAGAGAACCTCATACCTGTATTTGAATAAAATTCATCATTCCCCATCTCTTCTCAGACTCCCTCACTTTATGCCTGACCAACTTTGTGTCCACTTTTTTTTTCTTAAACTCATAAAGCCCAATTTATGTTGCCTATGTCCTATAGGATGGGTTGCCATCACCTGGGTATAGTTGACCTACCCAGGTAAACTCCCCTAAAACACTAACACTCTACCTCTGGCAGCTATCAAATGGCAACTTATATAAAAGTAGGAATGTGTGCACACTTCTTCATTCTATGGTGGAGTTTATCTGGCTTGAGCTTGCACAGGTCCTGTGCATACTGTCGCATCTTTTGTGAGTTCATAATGAAACTGCCTGCCAGGTCTAAAAAAACACTGTTTCCCTGTACCAACCTATCATCTTCCTAGTTAGAGCTGAGATGATAACACAATGAGACTCTGTGTATTTTGACCAGTTTGGGATCTCTGTGATAATCACCATCTACTGCAACAATGCATGCTCTGACCAAAGTTGAGAGGTGCACTAATCTACAAGTATAGCAATATCATGAGTAGTCTTTTTAAAATTGAGTCTATTTATCTATATACTAGTAGTTGGTTCTCCCTTAGGGTCTCTTTGCAGGTTATTGGCCAAATATAGGTGCCAGGTAAGGGTTGCATCTGTCCAAACAAACAAATTCAGTAAGAATGAGATAGATTGTTTCCATGCTGTTCATGTCACTATTACACCTGGCACACATATTTAAATATCAGTCTTTTTTTTTGTTCTTGGTTTTTCAAGACAGCATTTCTCTTTGTAGTTTTGGTGCCTGTTCTGGATCTCACTCTGTAGACCAGGCTGGCCTTGAACTCACAGAGATCGGCCTGCCTCTGCCTTCCAAGGGCTGGGATTAAAGGTGTTAGCCACCACTACCCAGCTTCAGTCATATTTTTTTTAGTTCACCGTTCACAGTTAGTTAAAACTGATCAAACTGATCGTGTGTTTTATCTCCCAGGTAAAAGCTATGCAATTGGGATGAAGCTTCCAGGTCAGTACAAGCATGGTTTCTCCATGTTTTGAGACTCAACTATATCTTTAACAATAAATAGAGTGCTATTGTCAGATTTTGGAGGGCAAACAATACTATTGACAATAGCTTGTAATATTTGGAGGTCTATGGGACACTACTGGCCAAGAATTTCAAAAGGCACTCATTTATGGCAAAGGGCTTTTTATTTGTTAGTCAGCAATGTCTACTATGAGTATTGTTAGTTCATTACAGAGTTACTCCATTTAAATATATATTGAGTGCAAATTTCTACAGCAGAAAACAAATTTCCATACAACTTTATATGAGTCCTTAATGTTAGTTATCTCTCTTTTCCTGCATTTCCATCCACTACCCTATTTAACCCTTCTTGTTCCCATTATAATTTTTACCCTTTGATAATACTGCACTCTATCTCAACTCCCTTGAAAGCACCTTCCACTGATATGTGCACATGGCCCCATATGAATATTATGACCTCTAAAGAGCGATGATAATCAGAACTGCATGGTGCTGACATCAAAATAGACACAGTGAAAATGGAATTTGACAAAGCATAACACATGAACTCAGTGTCACAGGAAAAGACTTTAGGGAAAGAACAAGAGTAACTCAGGACTTAAAAGCAGAAATACATAAATGTGACCTCAAAAAACTAAAAAGCTATGTACAGCAAAGAATGCCATCATTCAAGTGAAGAAGGAACCTATATTATGGGGGAAAGCTTGATCTGTAATGTCTGATAGAAGCTTAGACTCAAGAATACACAAAGAACACAAAAAGCTGTACATCAAGGAAAGAAACTTTCCAATTATTAAGTAGAGAATGGAACTAAATAGGTGTCTTTCAAATGATGAAGTAGTTTTGCATGAGAAACATATTCCAAATGTATTACATCTTAGCAAACATGGAAATACAAACCAGAACTACTTTAAGATTTCTTCTCACCTCAGTCAGAATAGCTATGGTGTAATACACAACTGACCACAAATGCTGGTGTGGATTTGGAGAAAGGGGAACATTTATTTTTAGTTGGTGGGAGTACAAACTTGTGAAGCCACTGTGAAAATTAGTATGGGGGTTACTCAAAGGAATCTAGCAATAGATCTATTACACAATTCAGCTATATCATGCTTGGTCATAGAAACAAAGGTTTCTATATCATAGCATACTTGCTTATCTTCAGTAAACCCATGAAATAGAGATAGTCTTGCTGTCCATCTACAGATAAAGTTATATTAAAACTGTGTTACATTTCCACAATGGGACATGATCCAACTGTTAAGAAAAGTGAAATTGTGAAAATTACAGCTGAATGGATGAAGCAGGTTTGTGGATGTTAGCTATAATTCTTCAAATATGTATTCCCTTTGCAGTGTCCCATGTAATGTTATAGTAATTCTGTGGATTCAGGTCTATGTATATTCCTTTCATTTATGGTTTTATTTTATATATAGTTTCAGATATAAGCACTTTCTTCACATCTCTATATACAAGAATGGCTTTGTTACATAATGATCAAGATTCTACCACTGGCAGTATTTGTGTGTCCCAAGAATTTCATGTTGGACACTCTGATATCAGAGGGAAATCTTCTCATGAAATTGTCCAATAGCTACATTTACCGTGGAGCCACCTCATTTACATAGATTTGTGTCTTTGTCAAACTCCCTGAATAAATGCTTAGTTACATGTATTTCATTTTAGATAAACATGTATTTTGGTAAATGTTTAAAGTTCAAACTTTAAACCTTTCAATGATGGTTTGTCACCTTTCATACCAATATTCCCTTCATCAGCTATAAACTGAGACAAAGTACAGATGTCTTTTCTGATCTCTTAAGGAGTCTATACAGTTTTTACTTACTATCTATCTATCTTTCTTCTTTCTTTTTGTAAGTGAACTATTTTAGGGATTCCATCTAAAGTTTTGTGAGTGCTATGTATGCATATTCTGAAGCGGAATATGTCCATAGAATTTCTACACATATATATGTGTAAGTGCATGGGTATAGGTATGTTGTATTTTTCTGTCACATGTGTGTGTGGTGTAAGCACGCAGGTATTTGAGTAGATGGTTCGATGTGTGTAGTTGCTAAATGAGCACAATGTGTCATGCTCTTCACTCTGTCTACCTACTTTACTCCCATGAGATTGGGTCTCTCATGGGACATGGTTCTAGGTTGTCAATCAGGATATCATAGTAATCCTCTTGTATACTGCCCCTATAATACTGGGATTTAGCAATGTGAATTTACTCTACTTTTTGTGTGGGTTTTAAGGATTTTAACTACATCCTCATACTGGCACAAAAAGTACTTATCCACCTAACTGTTAGTTAAACTCATAAAGTTACATATCTCTTGTTTCTCTGTAAAGCTTATGTGACCATTATTTCAAAAGTAGTTTATAAATATTGACCTTGGTTCACCCCCAATAAAATCATAATGCCTTTCATGGTTACACCTTTAAGACCTTCACATGGGCTCTATATGGGAAAAACAGTACCTATAGTTTATGCACATTAAATGGTCTTGTATTTTAGGCTATTTTTTAAATTTATAATTAATTTAATTTTACATACCAGCCATGAATTCCCCTGTCCTCCTTCCTCCCCTCCCCTCCTACCAATCCACCCCCTATTCTCACCTCCTCCAAGGCAAGGACTCCCCTGGGGATTCAGCTCCACCTGGTAGATTCAGTTGAGGCAGGTCCAGTCCCCTCCTCCCTTTACCTAGGTTGAGCAAAGTGTCCCAGCATAGGCCCTTGGTTCCAAAAAGCCAGCTCATACACTAAGGGCAGGTTCTGGTCCTACTGTCTGGGGGCCTCCTATTAGTTCAAGCTAATCAACTGTCTCACTTAACCAGAGGGCCTGATCCAGTTCAATGGGGACTCCTCAGCTATTGGTTTATAGTTCACGTGTTTCCACTAGTTTGGCTATTTGTCCCTGTGCTTTTTCCAATTATGGTCTCAATATCTCTTGCTAAGCTAATTTTAAAGCAACGTGTAGTAAGACTAATCCAAAATAACAAAATAGAAGGAGAAAAAACTGATCTTTCTGTGGGGTAATGAAAATCCAACATATGTAAAAAGGAGAAAACAATGTCGTGATTTATATCATCTGATAGAATCCTGTGCTGTTCCATTAAGCTATGTGAAGAATGGCTTAGAGACCTGAAAATTACATCAGATTCTATATTTGACTATGGGACCTGAGGTAGAAGCACAATTATCTCAGTTATGCAGCCTTCTATGCCCAGTAAATCCGGGAACTCGTGATGTTTTCTGAGGCACTGTGGAGAGATGTGTGATGCTGCAATGCCTGTGGTTTTCCCCAGCAACAACCCAGGTGTATAAAAGGCCCTTGGCAGATGGTGACAGCCAGACTCAAGGAACCTACCGGTTATCATCCTCTGAACAGTCCACTCCTGACACCATGTGTTACTATGGCAGATATTATGGAGGCCTGGGCTATGGCTATGGTGGCCTAGGCTATGGCTATGGCTGTGGCTATGGCTGTGGCTATGGTGGCTATGGTGGCTATGGTGGCTATGGTGGCTATGGTGGCTATGGTGGCTATGGCGGCTATGGTTATGGCTGCTGCCGCCCACTGTGCTGTAGAAGGTACTGGTCCTATGGATTCTACTGAGGAGATTCTGCAGCTGCTCACTCCAACTTTCTTCACTTGAGGTTCTCAGATCTTCATAAATTCCAACCTTAGTTCAAACTATCTGAGGAATAATGAATGAAACACAACACGGCCACTTATTCTTCTATTTAATTTGAATGTGTGAATATTTGCAGCAAAGATCCTCATTGTCATCATAATGTCATGTAAAATGTGATCTGTTTGCATCCTCCCCCATTCTATGAAATGATAATCTTTTAAATAAAGTATTTCTTTCTTTCCTCATGTCTTTCTAAATGTGAGTTGTGCATTAGTGTTTTTATATCTGGTTACAATGGTGTGATTGTGTATAAATGGGAGATAAGTAATGGAAAGAATGTGAGAGAGCAGGAAGGAGGGAGAGAAAGGGGAAGACAGAGGGAAGGATGGAAGAGAAGAAAGGAGGGAGGAAGGAGTAAATAGAAGGAACTATTCTCTTTAAACATTCTCCTTTCGTAGACATTTTTATTATGTTCACATTCTTGCTATTACAATGTCATGATGATTTTGGTAGTGCAAATATTTCTCTGAGAGGAAATGCTTTTGACTGCTGGCTAAATTTTGATTACTAACCCAAGTTAGTTCTCTGAATATCTTGGGTGTAGCATCCACCGTACCTTCTCTAATGACTGTCACTTTCATACTCCTGCTGTGTACAGGGTTCCCTTGACTTCACCTTTCTCTAGCACCTTAATATCCATTTTATTAACAACTACGGGGAAATAACTCATTGTGACTTTGACTTATGATGTTGAAAATTCACCCTTGGTCATCTATAGATTTTCTTTTGAAAATTATTTATGATAATTCTCTTATTAATTTCATATCATGGAACATGGTGCTGACAATCATTATGTCATAGTTATCTATCTGTCTGTATGCTAGCCCTTTAGCATTGGGGTGTAAGAATGTGAATACACCCAACTTCCTATGTAGCTTCTGGGGATTTTTAACTATACCCTCATGCTTGCACAGCAAGAGCTCTTATAAACAGATCTCCACAGTGTTAATTAAACTCATAAAGTTACATGTCTCTGATTTCTCTGCAATGATCCTGTGACCATGATTTTAAAAGAAGTTTATATTGACCTTGGTTCACCTACAAAATCATAATGTCTTTCATAGTTACAATTTCAAGACCTCCAAATGGAGTCTCTAACAGAAACACACAGTACCTACAGTTTATGAACATTAAATGGTCATGTATTTTTGGATGACTTTAAACCAACATGTAATAAAATTCTTAGAAATAAATCCAAATACATTAATATGAAATGTCAGCTACCAACCAACATTTGTTATGTTGCAAATAACATAACCAGTTATTCAGAAGAAAGACTCAAGAAACATGCTCCTCTCGATAAAACTCATTCAAAATAAGGAAACAGAAGGAAAATAATCCACTTTCTTTCTCAAACTAAAAAAAAAGTAAAAAGCATAAAACTATGTAATGATTTATATCTTCTGACAGAATCATGTCATGTATTCACTAATCTACAATGAAGAATAGTGTAGAGAGTTGAAAATTAGATCAGACTCCACAATTTGACTATGGGATCCTGTAGGAGCACAATTATATCTGCTATTCAGCCTTTTATGTCTGATAGATCATGACACTCATGATGTTGACTAAAGCACAGTGCAGAGATGTGTGACATTGCAATGCCTGCGGCATTCCTCAACAGCAACGCAGGTGTATAAAAGCCCTTGGCAGATAGTGGCATCCAGACAAGAAACATACCACTAGTCTTCAGCTGAACTGTCCTCTCCTGACATCATGTGTTACCATGGCAGCTACTATGGAAGCCTGGGCTGTGGCTATAGTGGCCTAGGCTATGGCTATGGCTATAGCTATGGTAGTTATGGTGGCTATGGCAGCTCTTGGATGCAGTAGCTATGGTGCTATGGTTATGGCTGCTGCCACCCACTGTGCTCTAGAGGATACTGGTCTTATGGCTTCTACTGAGGAGTTTCTACAGCTGCTCAGAATGTTACCCACCATCTGCTGTCCAACTGAAGTGCTTGTAAGTTTTTTCACTTCAGGAACTCTTAAATAACTTCAAATATTCTAGCTTTATAACCAAATGTCTGAGGAAAATAAATGAAACTCAGCATCCTTAGCTTGTCTCAACACTTTTAACTGGATGGTGTGAGCATTTTGGTACCATCTTCAAAATGTTCTGTCATGTGATGAAATATGACTCTCAACTTGAGTATAAAAGTATAAGAATTATCAAATAAACATTCTACTATGAATATGCATTTCTTATAGTTTATTAAACATAATCAGTTTCCATATGCTTGTGCATTTGTATCTGTTTGGTCTCATGTATGTAGTCACATGGGAGAGGAGTGAGGGAAATAAAGATGAGATATAAGATATTGACTAGGAGGAGAAATAAAAGAGTAAAATGGAGAGGGAAGAAAGGAGAAGAATTAAAAAAAGACAAACACATCTATTGATGCACATTTGTTCCATACATTTGCTATTCTGAACAATGTGACAGTGAACATGGTCATGTGGATAGTACTTTGAGATGGAATAGATTTCCTCTAGTTAAATATGCAGCAGTATGACCTCCATTTCTTATCACACGCACACACACACACACACAAATTATATATACATACTTAGTATATATTCTATATTATATGTGTACATACATAGTGCATATATACATATACATATACATATATATATAGTATATGTGCGCAGGGGGTGGTTCATGGTATAATATTTTCTGTCATGTCTACACCAACATTTCCACCATCAGTGAAGTGTTCCCTTTTCTCCACATGCTCTGTGACATTAACCTTTAGTCTTTCTATATTAGTCATTTTCCAGATGAGGGCTGCAATCTCATCTCAATCTGGCTTCACGTCTCTGAGATATTAGTGGAGTAGAACATTATTGTGCCTTTTTGGCCATTTGTATGTTTTCTTTCAATAAAGGTATTTCCTAATTCTCTGTTATTTTAGCGTCAATTTATTTTATTTTGACTCTCATATAAATTTTGTTTATTAACACCCTATCTGTTGTATTTGTTTTATTCCCTTGTGTAGACTCCTTTTGTACAGTTCATTTTCTGTTGTACAGAAGACCCTTAGTTGGATATATGAAAAGTTGTCTATTTTCATGGTTTTTCCTCTTATGTGTGTAGCATGCCCTTTACCAACTCAGCCATCTCCTGTCCCCTCGAACTAGTATTTCAATATAAATATAGTATTTCTCAACCCAAAGTCACACCACTTAGCTAGAAGAAACCCAAATATATGCTAAGTAGTTGTGGTTTGGTGATACTTAAGTAACTTTCCCAGGTCCTTGTCTCTGATCACTCTCCTTAGTCTCAAGTGGTTTTATAAAATGTAATGTAGTCAAGGTATTAATCATGAATCTGATGAATAGTTGGCAAAGATTTCCTTCATGTTTCATTAATCTGGTAATGGGTGTGCAGCAAGGCTTGTTTGTGTGTTTTGTGTGTGTGTGTGTGTGTGTGTGTGTGTGTGTGTGTGTGTGTGTGTTTTGTTTTGCTTTGTTCTGTTTTTATGCTATCCTGTATTATCCTGCTATCATGCTCAGTCTTGTCTACTGTACCATTGGAGTTCTTTCTTGAAAATGCATCTTGGAGAATTTTACTTATGTTTCCTCCTAAATTTCTCAGATTTTGGAACTAAAATTAAGAACGTAGGTCAATTTGAGTCATATTCTAGTTCCTTTTTTGTACACATAGATATTATGCTTTCCCCAGGACTATTTACTCAAGAGACTTTTTTTTTTTTTTTTGCAATGTAGCTTTTTGATATCTTTGTCAAAAATTAAGTAACCAGGGTGCTCTGGATTTTTCCCCTGGGCTTCCTGTTTTTGTTTTTGTTTTTTTTTTTTCGCCATTGGGCCACATGCCTGTTTTTATGCTAGTGGCATTTAGTGTCATTTACTACGGTTCTGTAGAATAATTTGAGATCAGTTTGGTACAGTTTGGTACATTACCTCCAGCATCGTTCTTTCTTTTAGCATTTTTTTTAGTATTAAAGAGCTCTTAGTTTTCACATGCCTTTTTGCCTTGCATTGCTCAATTCTGCTAAGAATGTAATTGACTTTCTGATAGAAATCACATTAAATCTGTATATGAATTTAGTAAATATGGTTCTTCTTACATCATCAATTCTGACAATCCATGAGCATGGATTTCATTCAATTATTTGCTGTCTTCTTCAGTTTTTCTTCAGTTCTTTAAAGTTCTCATTATGGAGCTTATTTAACTCCTTTATTAGAGTCAAGATAAGTTGTAAACTATTGTTAGTAAAATTTTTCTTTGGATGCTTTTTCTGAGTTTTTTTTTGAGATTTATTTTTATTATAAAAAATCATTTTAAATTTAAATATTTTGATCATATCCTTCCCCTCCCCCAAGTCCTTCCAGGCCCTCTATCCAACCCTACTTTAAGTTCTTTCTTAAAAATCAAACAAAAACCCAATATAACAACAAAACTCACCCAAAACAAAGGAAACAAAATAAAACCACACCAAAAGGGAAAAAAACCAACCACTAAACTATAACCAAATAAACACACACACACACACCAACAACAACAAAAACAAAACAAAACAAACACACTGTGGAGTTTAATTCTCTGTTGGTCAACCACTCCTGAACATAAGCCTGTCCTGGTTGATATATTCAGTGTCACTCTACTGGAAAAATCTGATTTTCCCTCTCTAAGAAGGTGAAAGTGACAGTTCAGTTGCTAAACTTTACCATAGTGGCTAGGTTTTCATTCATTCATTCATTCATTCATTCATTCATTTAAAAAAAAATATGACACAAAATATAATAAGATGAAACCAATCTGTCACATCAAAGTTGGCCAAGACAAACCAAAAAAAGGAGAAGGCCTTCCACAAACTGACAGCAGGGCCTCACTGCTGAAGACAACACCTACACAAATCCCTGAAGATGGAGATCTCAAGCCAGTGCCCACATA